TATATATATATATATATATATATATATATATATAAATACACACACATGCATGTATATATTTAAGAAAAATATGTGAAGTTAGTACATTTAAAATATTTATCTATAATATCAATTATATGAATATAAATATATACATGGAAATACATGGAAATATTTTCAAAATATATATTGTATGTGTGTGTATTTATATATACATAATAAATATACAAAGTATACACACACATATTATGTAAACAAAATATTTTATTTTGGATGCGATTAATCGCGATTAATCATTTGACAGCACTAGTTAAAAGAAATCTAAATGTAATAAAAACGTAGTTGCATTATATTACCTAAAATTAATCTAAGAATAATATTAGGAGGTTAAAAGTACTCCACTCAGCACTGATGCCTGTATTTCTGAATAACGTTTTAATGCACAAAATATCTTTGATTTTCAATCTTCAGGTTGTTCAGGCTGCGCTTGACGAGGCCCGTCAGGGACGCACGTGTATCGTCATTGCTCACAGGCTTTCCACCATTCAGACTGCTGACATCATCGCTGTGATGTCACAGGGCGTGGTCATCGAGAAAGGGACCCACGAGGAGCTCATGGCCAGGAAAGCAGCATACTACAAACTTGTCACCACAGGGGCCCCTATTAGTTTACAAGTAGTTTGAACAGAAATGTGTGTTGGCAGTGTGTGTACACAACCACCCTATTATGATAAAAATCCACCCAGTGTTTTTTTTTTTATCTACTAAAATCTACCCCTTTTCTCAAATCGAGAGGGCCAGGCCTGGACTTTATTTTGTGTTTTGGTTCTGTTTGTGCTTTTGCGCTATTTTGTGTTTATTTTATTATTCAAGTTTTGTTTGAACGTTCGCCAGTTCCCGCCTCCTTCTTCCCGAACTACAAACTGTGTTACATTAGTGCCGAAACCCAGGAGGAAGGAGGGACACGCTGTCAGAGAGCCCTAGCTGCTGAGGGGGATCGCAGTGCTGAGTAGATCGGGCAGCAGGAACAAGCGGAGAGACCACAGGTGGCTGCCCGAGGCGGTGGTGCTGGAATGATGGAAGACAAGGTGGGACGGAGAGCTTGCTGCCGCACTCCTGGGTCGAGGAGGGGTGGCTGCCGTCCGAGAGGGAGCGGAGGAGTTGGCCCCATTCGCCAGGAGGCCGGAGCCTGCTGCCGTCCACCATGATTGGGGAGGAGCAGGGAACGGGGGACTCGCTGCCGGCTGCCATCAACAGGAGGAGCCATCGCCGTCCGCCAGGAGGCGGAGGAGCGGTGGGCCGTCCACCAAAGATGTCCAGTACCATCGCATGGCACCGCGAGTGAGAGCCTCTCAGCCGGTTGAGGACCAAGCAGCAATGTGTCCGGGAACCGGACTGATAATATATATTTTTTCTTTTCCTCTCTCCCCTCTCTCGAATCGGTCTCTCCTCTTCCTTCCGTCTCCTTTTCTCTTGCCTCGTCTGTCTGTCCTTACCCCCAGGTATGCCGTGTCCGCCGTGTCCGCCG